AAAAGCTTCTTTAATATTAGCACTGTAGAGAGGTTAGAAAATCATACTGTTGGGCTTGTAGTATTATTTTTTTAGATCATCATATTCGAAGTATGTAATCTATATGTTCACGTTTCATATATATCTACATGTTTGTTGAACAGGTAAAAAATGTAAACAATGCTATCCGATTTGATAAATAAATAATATATTGATCTTTTGGAGAGAATAAGCTGAATTGTTTACTTTTTACAAAATTTTTTCTAAAAAAATAGTGGAGGCCAACAAGAATATGTGGGGTTCTTCTGTAAGTTTTATAGTTGTATAATTGATATTTCAAGATTATATTATTTTAACAAGAGACATTTTACTACTTGCTTCTAGAATAAACCTTTTAGTTTAAATGCTAAATATCCTGGAGAGTCTACTAGTACAAGAAAGCTTAATTCCAAGAAAAACTACTTAAATTATGCCTACTTCTTAGTATTTCATATCTTTCAAGCTTTTTGTTCAGAGGTAAATTTAGTTTCTAGAATATACTTTCTCATTTGGGTGCCAAATATCTTGAGAAGTCTGCTAAAAAAAACAAAAGCTTGACCCAAGAAAAACTGCTCAAGTTACACCTGCTCTTTAGTATTTTACATCTGTAGTTTAGTTTTTTTGTTGTATTGTCTAAAGAATTATTGGAAAGAATTGATTTTGTTATAAACTATCTTAAATTTAACTATAAATAAATATTCTTTTATATTTTTTTTTTGTATTGACAGCCTTGTCAATATCTTTATTAAATCAAAGCGAATATATAAATATATTCTAAACTATCTAAATTGTAGATCTAACATTACTTGATTTTCTCTATAGGTATCTAAATATAGTTTGTCTTACTGGTTAAGGCTATTGTTCTTACCAAGACTACACCAAGATAGCTAGTGAAACTATAACAAGATGGTTTTAATTTAAAAAAATTTTTAATTATATTTAGTTGACAATTTTTTTTTAATTTATCTTCTTTTTAAAACAATAATCTAATTCTAATTTTATATTAATAATTAAATTTATTATATTTTTCAATAAAGTATTATTATCAGAATTCTTTTAATTGTACTTGTGTTTTTGTTTTCTTTTTTCAATTTATTTTGTTCTTTGCAATTGGTATTCTAGCTTTTAAAAGTCTTTTCATATCCTTTTTTTTATATTTTTCTCCTGTTTCACAGCTCTGTATTATTATTTTTCTTCTAAAGAGCTTGTTCTAGAGGTTTTTCTAGAATATTCTTTTTAAGATCTTTTTTTTTTTAACTGTTTTAGGATTTCTTTTAGTCTTTCTGTTTCAAGATCTTGATTAGTCTATTTAGATTTTTTTTTCTTGTTTTGGATTTGAGTATTTTTTTTTTTTTTTTTTCTTTTTCTTTTTTTTTTTTTTTTTAGAATCTGGTTTTCTTCTTAGAAACTTCTCTTGTATTTTAATAAAGACTTTTTGATTTCTAAATTATTTTACTAAAATTCTTTCTACTATCTCTAATATTATATTTTTCTTTTTTTTTCTAGTTTTTAATTCTTTTAAATCTTTCTGTTGATATATTTTAAATTAAATTTGTATTAATAATCTGCTAAGATTTTGACCAGTATATCCACTCTACAAGCAAATCTCTTTTTTTTTTCCAAGTTTTGTTATTAATTTTTGGATCTTCAATACTTGTTTAATATACCATTTTTATTATCCATTCTATTGGGGTTGTTAATGCAATTTTTGGATTTGATTTTTATTTAGAGTTTTCGTTTCAATGAGGTATTCAGTATCTTGACCCTTGATCTTCTTTTTTTTTCTTTTTTGGTTTTCTTTTTTATACTGATTTGCTGTGATGGTTTTGATAGATTCTTTGAACTGTTGTACTAATATCTTTAAAAATATTTGTTATGCTGTCTTTGTTAAGTTTTTCTTTGTTTTTGAGATCTCTTGCTCTAATCTAATTCTAACTTTAACTTTATTTTAGCAGTTTGTTTTCTCTTTTGTCAAATTTGTATCTTTTTTTTCTTCTCTTTGGCTTTTCTTCTTATCTCATACTAGTTTGTTACAGTAGTCTTGACAAATTCTTTAAATTAATATACTATAGTTTTCAGGGCTATTTTATTATATTATTTTTGTTAATTTTTCTTTTGTTCTTGGAGTCTCTTGCTCCAATCTGATTTTAATTTTGACTTTATTTTAGCAGCTTGTTTTTTTTTATTTTCTAGTAACTATTTTATTTTATTTACTATATTTAATTTCAACATTATATTATTCATTTTTCAATATATAATATATTTAACAGAAGTTTTTTTTATATTATTTCGTGATAATAAAGATAGTTTCTTTCTTTAAATATAAATTTTGTATACTTTAGTTTACCTTTGTTATATCACTATAATTCTTCATAAAGCTTTTCTATTTGTGTCTTAGTTTTTTCTTCTGTGATAAGTTTTTTCTAACATATTCTGCTAATATTTGTTCTGTAAAAGTATCTACCTTTCCATCAGTCATTGTTGTTGTTATATCTTGGAGTTCTTTTAATACTACTTCTGCTTCTTTTATTGTATTAGATTTTTTTTCAGAATGTTCTATTAATTTTTACTTTATATGACTTGTTGTTTTTCTATTATTGTTGATTATTGTTATTATTTGTTGTGATTGTTTACCAACTTTGTTTATCTTTGTTATATGATTTTTGATATATTTTCTTTGTTTGTTTTTTATTATATATTATAATTCTTGTATCACTAAAACAGATTTGTATTACAGGGTTAAAACTGATTTTCTAAAAATTTGCAAAGTGCAAAAAAAATACTGTTGATTTTTCATATTTCTTTCTATTTCTTTGCTATTTCTGCTTTTCTTACTCAAGTCTTTTAAGGAACTAAGTATTTCTTGTAGTTCTCTTTCTTTTTTTTAGAACTCTAAATTAGGTTTCTTAGTAGTCTTTATATATTTTTTGTAATTTTTTTGTTAATTTTGTTTTTAAAAATTTGTATTTTGATGATCAATAGAAAGAGTTGTAATTCAATTTATAAGGTTAGCAAATATTCTTTTATATTGTATATAAATATTATTTTAAAATTATATATGATATTTTTAAAGGTTGCAATTTTCTAAATAATACTTATAAACATTATTATACAAAATACTATAATAATATAATACTATAGTATAGGAATCTTTAAACCAATATCTTTTTTAAAAGTGAACAAATTTGAACTAAAATACTAAAATTTGATTGGCTAATTTTTTGAATTTTTATTATATTTTTAAATTTATATATTTTTTAAAAATTTTATTATATTTTTATATATATGTAGCCAAAATTTTATTTTATTAGTAACTTTAAAAGAAAATAATATTATCAAATTTTGTTATATTCAAAAACAAACTTTATAGTTTTTTACTTAATTTGTTATATATTTCTATGAAAAATTTTTTTTTTTTAATTATATTTTTTATTTTTTTATAAAATTTAAAAAATTTTAATTTTATATATTAATTTAAGGATTTCTACACTGTACAAATAAAAAGATATATATAATATACAAACCAATAACAGCTTTGGTTTATAATACAATTAACTTTGATTAATAGTAACAAATTATATAATTTAAAATAAACTATAAAATATATTTAACGATAATAAAAATTATAAAAAACAAATTAAACTAAAAAATTTTATTTAAAAAATAACAAAATAAATCAATTTGAAAGTTATTAATAAAGTATAGTAAACACAAATATAACTAGTTGAAAAACAAAGCTCAAATAATATATAAATAGAATATAAACAACTTTAATAAATTTAGATAAGTTTTGATTATAGGTGAAATAGTTTAAATCTCTATGGTTATAATATTGTATAAGAATATACAAGATTGTAAAAAACTATATATTAATTAATAATGCTTAAAGGTTTTAAATAAAAAAAAAAATCAATAAATAGAATAATTGTGTAATAGTAGAGGTTGTCTCAACCACGAATATTAATTTACCCACGGTATGTTATTAATCTAATACTTTAATAGTTTAAATCTTAGTTTTACGTATAAAAAATAAAAAATGTCAAATGATGCTGAGAATTTAAATTACTTTAATATAAATTTTAAAAAATTTTTTTAGCCATTTTTTTTAGCTTTTTTTTTGAGTTAGGTTAGAATTTAGGGTTAGAGTTTATAATGAGTATATGTGAACTTTAGTAGAGTTTATATGTTTAAATTGAGACCCCAAATTCTCAGCGACAAAAAATATTGTATTTCTTTTGCAACACAAGCAAAGTTAAAGCTAAGATGATATTTCTTTTCTTCTAAAGCTTGGTTTCCAGAAAAATTTTAAACAAATTTTACGTATTTATTGTATTTATGTAGTACACGAAACGCCATCCGATCTCCGTCAAAAAACAAGCAAAAAGTAATGCATCACGTGTTTCGTAATACACGCGTGATTATTTTTGCATTGATAAAACAATTAAGATTTTAATATTAAATATACTATTTACGAACAAATTAAAAGAAAAAAGATAAAAAAGATACGTCTAGAATTGCACGAAATAATGCGATCTAACAAAAATTTTTTCTGCTCCATTAATTTTGATCGCCACTGTAATAATAATAAAATGATAAATGGTGGAGCACCTGTCCCCAAAATCTTACATATTTTTTTAGAAAGCTATTAAAATTAACTGTCTGTAAAAGGATCCTGTCCTTTAAAAGGTCTAAATGTACAGGATTTACTTTTTTAAAAAATTTTTTTTTGGGGAGTGAAAAGAAGGAAATATAGATAAAACTATTCACAAGAAAAAAAATAACAGTATAGCAGAATACGCCCGGCATTCGAAAACCTTCTGCAATAATACAATAAAAAAAAAAGTTGAATTCATTCAACTCATGAAATGTTTATGTAAATAAGTAAAACAAAAAAAAATAAAATAAAATAAAAAATAAAACAAAATACAAATTGGTATAACCAATATAATATCCCATTTGTATAATTATATAATATTAACCAATCATGTTCCTTTTTCGACCTGTTGCTATAGGAATGTAATATAAGTCATTTGTTTAATTCAATCTAATAATGTTGGTAGACAAATACTTACCATGGCAACCTTAACTTTATCAAATTCTTTAAGCATTTTGCGTCTAGCACCGAGTGCAGCAACACCTTTTTGTTCTAGCGATGCATCATCTAATTCAATAATATCTTGCCATATCATTCCTTCAAATACAGGAGTATACTTGTGTAAACGAAGGCTACGTAACCAAGCAGGAATATCTAAATTTCAAACAATAAAAAATACACAAAATTAAGACAAAATTCGGTAAAGTTATATAATAATAATGAACGGTAAAATTAATAAAAAACCTTGCAATAAGTTGAAGTCAACAGTATCATCATTTTGTTTCTTTTTATTTTTACCATGACCTTTTGAAGGATTATTATTATTATTATTATGAGAAGCATCACTATGATCACTGTGATATCCAACCACTTCGCCATTCTCTTCACTATAATGCCCAACATTAGGTGGTGTTAGATGAGTATTTTTACCACCACTATTTTGATTCCAATTAGAATGAGCAGGATACAATCCTGGAGGATTAGGATTAGGAGAAGTAGGACGTGAATTTTGCCTGGAAATAGATTTTGTGCTCGGAATAGGAGAATGTTGAGGTGAGCGGATATTATTTCCATCAGTGTCGTACATAGATAAAACGATATTTGTTTGATTTGAATTATATTTTTCTTCTTGAACAGTGGCAGGAACACCGGAACTAGATTT